CCGGGATGCCTGTCTGAGAATACCCGACTTCGGGAGAGAGGGAGAGGAAAGCGGAGTAGGGTTATTCGAACTAACAGCCGAACTGGGGATCGGTTTGTTTGCGGCTGGCTGTGGCAGACTTTCGTAGCGATATTTAATTATATCGCGAATTTGGAGAGCCAAATGGGTGAATATGGAGAGAGAGAGAGATCAGACTGCCGCAGGATCTTTTTCCCTACCTGGTCCCAAAAGGGCACTTGGTATAATTTAGCTGCCGAAATGTCAGGGAAGGTCTGCGACAACCACTGAACAAACTTCTTAACTTCAGATTTTTTAACCTTAATTCCCCCCACTAAAAGGATACCCACAACTTGGGAATAAATGCTCTTCTGCAGCACAGACAGCTTTGCACCCATGGCTGTTAGATGTTAAATCGTGCCGCAGCGCCTATGATTGGGAAAACACGAACGAAAAACAAAAGACCACACTTCCAGCTTTGCCGCAGTCCTTAAGCTTCCCACCTGGGAAGGGAAGCACCAAAACCAGGAATTTTTTCCCCGAACCCCGGGGAAAAAGAAACCCACCAAAAAGGGATCCTTTCCCTAAACCCTAGGGGAAAGGAACCAACCAAAAAAGGACCGGGAAAGCCCCAGGGACCCCTATACTCACAAACCAAAGGGGTCCGAGAGGGAAGGGTGGAAAAGAAAATCCAATCGTAGAACTCCTCCGCGAGAGGACCGACTCCGGAGGTGCGTTCCAGAGCTGCCGGTCCTGTCCCCGAGAGTGCCACCCACTAGAACGTGGGTCTGCTGCTACCGGGGTAGCTGACGGCCAGGGAGGACGATTCTTCAGGTCCGCACGACCCTACAATCCTCAAACGAGGGGTCCAACACCGCAAAAACGGGGCCGCTCGTTGGGCGCCAGCTGCCGCGCTCCCGCCCCAAATCCCTGATCTCAGCCCCGGCTAGCTCTCGTCCTGGGGCGAGGGCGGGCGATGGAGGCACCCTCCGCCGCTCCCAGCTGGGGTTTGGAGAGTGCCTTTGTGGGTTCCGGGCAGCGCTAGCAAGCCTCGCGGTG